TGAGAATTCAGCTTTTCATCACAGGAATAAATTACATTTTAAAATATATTCAAATAGAAAACTGTTTTTACTGTATTTGTTATCAAATAAATGCATGCCTTGGTAAACATAAGAGACTGTTGACCTGTAGTGTATTACTTCATTACTTATTAATATTCATAATTAACCAGTTCAATTTTTGTCTGATTTCATATTTTTGCAAAAACATTTGATTATGTTTAAAAACATTTACTGGAAGGACATAATACAATTCTGATTTTTTTTTTATCATATTGTAATACAAAACAATTGTGAATTAGGTTTTGTAGAGAACATTTTACTTTTTGAATGTCTCTGTGCCATTGCCTGTTAAATAAACGCATTTGCTGCATTTAGTCCTTGTGCTGCTGAAATGTTTTGATCTTTTGTTTGTGAGTGAGCTTCAGTTTACAGGTGAAGGCTATAAAGACAGTCCACTGATTGACTTGCTTTCATCAAAGTGGAGCAATGCTATAAATAACCCTTTGATTCAGATGCTGTTCATGAATAATCTCGATTTGAACAGTTTACTTTCTGGTCAAAAGATATCATGTGTTTGTGGTCTGCACAACAGATGAAGTATATTTAGTATAGTTAAAAGGCTTTGAGTTCAACACAGTAGTAGAATGATTAAGTTTTATGGCGTGTATTCATTAGGCTGAAGTAAACAGCTCTTACTGAGGCCTTTACTCCAAAAAAAGTAGATTAAGTTGTTGCACGGGGTAGTCATGCATTGTATTATTCACTGAACATGAATTATAAATGTTTACAAACACCATAGCTCAAATGAAATACCATGAGCCTGGAGTCTGTGGTTCTAATGTGTGAAAAATTACGATTATTCAAGCGGCTTCATCTAGAAAATGGTTTAAGTGGGAGGCTGTTGGTTAATAATCTGCCACATGTGCATTTACGGTCTGCTTCAAAATTGCTTTAGTTTTGCCTTGGATGATGAAACCCACTATTACCACACAACATGTTGTTCCAGTTATAAATATCAAAAATGTAATTGTCATAATTGGGCAATAATATACAAGAGTCCATGCTTTACATTGTGAAAAAAGTAAATAAGTGTGCTTAACTGTATTGAATGTGCACTTGTAGTGGTTTCAAAACTGTACATGCATATAATATAATATTAATGATAAAAAGGGCACTAAAGAGCATATTTTCATTACTCTTTCTTAATACACATAAGTACACTTTTAAAATACATTTTGTAATTTTAACTAAATATTATTTAATATTGCATTTCAAGTTAATATATCTTAAATGTAATAAATTGCAATGTCATCATTACGAATGTTTAATTCCAAATATTTTTAAATACATTATGTATGACATATTTTTAGTGTTTAGTGTTCATATTTTTTATGTATGACATTTATTTTTACCATAAATGCTTGTCAGTACATCCAGCAGTACAATTTAACCATATTTCAAAGACAATAGAAGTAATTGTGAAAATACATACAAAGATGTACTATACTTAAATCCAAATTAAGTCAAGTCAAGTCAAGTCAAGTCTGCTTTATTGTCTGCTTTAAGTGTTTCAAGAAAGTTGTCTTAAGTTCGACTAACTGCATTTAAATTATATACGAGTTTGGAATAATTAAGATTTAAAAAAAAATTTTTTTTAAGGGGTCATATGATGCAATTTCAAGTTTTCCTTTCTCTTTGGAGTGTTACAAGCTGATTGTGCATAGATAAGATCCTTGAAGTTGCAAAAACTAAAGTCTCAAAACCAAAGAGATATTCTTTATCAAAGTTAAGACTCTGCCACGCCCCCTAAAACGGCTCGTTCTAACACGCCCCCACATATCTACCTCACTATGTGGAAATATTTGCGTAATGCCGCCCAAATGTTCATGCAAAGAAGGCATGGTTTCAGTAACCGCAGTTAGTGTTGAAGCAGCATGTCAGGGAGACGCTGTGTGTTTCTAGGCGAAAGCAAAAGCACTTTATTATAAATTACATTTTAAAATATATTCAAGTAGAAAGTTGCACTTTACTTAAACCCTACTTAAAGGGTTAGTTCAGTCAAAAACGTGGTGTATATGACTTTCTTCTTTCAGACGAATCCAGTCAGAGTTATATTAAAAATTGTCTTTGATCTTTCAAG